AGTCTAACACTGCTTCTTGACGCCAAACTCGGCCTACGGATTTTAAACTCGGTCTAACGCATTGAAACGCAATTTAAACGCCAGTAAATTCACTTCGGCCTATCGGATGAAGATAAAAATTGATTCGGTCGGAGCCCTTCTTTTGTTTTTGGGAATAATGGGTGCAAACCTTCAAATCATGCCTTCTTATTGACTTCATTCGGTAGCTTATTAACTAAAGTATCATACCAAACGCATAATAGACTTGTTAACTCTGAAATCATGGATTTATTTGAAGTTTTCTGCTCGATAGGCCCAAAATGGGCGATTAGGCCGAAGTAGTTCTCTACCCTACAAGTCACCAACCTAAGTTTCAACAATTTTATTCATCTTCATCGATTACAAAGTCGTGCACTACCGTTGGGCCCACTCAGCTTCACTGCTACACCGCCGACGTACCGCTTGTCCACCTCTGCTCCCGTTCTCCAACTCCCACTTTCCGGCCATTCTTCCATGTTTTTTTTTCGGCGTCGTTAACAACACCCGGTTGCCTCCGAACTGAGTTCACACTTTGGGCAAAGCTGTGTTCCCAAGGTCTGACTGCCTATCATTTTTCACGGTAAACGTCGCACCAAGTCACTCGACCAGTCCTCCGTACTGACAACGATCGTTTACGGCTCGGAACGCGACTTTGTCACCAGCGACACTCGCGAATTTATCACTCGACTTTATAATGTCCACGGAACCGTGTTCTACCGGTGTAATCGTATCCCCGGCACTTAATGCACTTTTCAACACCACTTCAGTAGTTTTAAATAACACTTTTTAAAACCGAAATTGAACATTTTTTAAAAATTTTACAAAAACGAATACGACTTTGATCTCCTTTAACATTCCGTTGAAATGACTCTCAAAATTATCGTGGTACATTCTTAAGAATTTAGATACTTAAGTAGTGTGTTTTTTTTAATATTCCTTCAGTACACCTTCAAATTATCTTATCAGTTCTTATCAGAATGATCTAAGCTAAGAATGAATTACCATAAACTTTCCCAAAGTATTCTCTCAAAGGTCATTTAGAATTCACTGCGAATTCTTCTCAGAAATCCATTGCAGATCTTCTCAAAATTGCCTGGCGATTCTCCTTAGAATTCCCTTTCTAATTTCTTTGCTTCCCTTAAAATTCTTCTCGGAGATATATTGGAACTCTGATGTGTGCTGCTGCTCAGAATACCTTTTGTATTCTCCTGAGAACTTCTTTGAAGCCCTCCAAAGATCCTTGCAATTTCTCTCAAAATTTTCCTAGGAACTCTCTTGAAATTATTTTCGATTCCATTAAAACTCAGGCCTGATAATTCACTTTGATTAGTTGTTTGACTAATTAACATTTAAGAGATGTTTAGTTTCTGGAAAGAGTGAACATAGTTTTAGCTAGCCGTACGTTTGTCTATTAATCAGATTTTCCACAACGGATCCAATTTGCGAAAGTCTTCACATTCACAGGGATTCGTCTATCTGAAAACATGACGAACATGACGAAAACTTATTCAGATTCTGTTTACATGGGTCGCTGAAGCCGAAGAGCGGTTGTTTATTGAAATGAGTATTTTAAATCTTAGTTTTACTAAATTTGCTGACTTCATCCACTTGGAAACAAATCCATAATAATTATGAATTGAGGATAGTTTGAGTTGAGTTGATAATGTAGATAAGTTTTATTCACTTCTGCATGGGAAAAATATACATTTAGACTAGACCTGTGCGCTGATCGAAATATTTTCGGCGGCGGTGTGATATGTTATTTTCTGCCGGCGGCGGCGGCGTGGCGGCGTCACGCCGTTTGCTTTCGGCGGCGGCGGCGTGGGTCGGCGTGACTTTATGTTTAATGATTTAGGAAAAAATACTTCCAAACCAATCGCACTCAAAAACGTTAAAACGTAGGTCACTCATAGTATGAGTACCAACTTCATCTCTTTTTGCCAGTGGTGGCGGTAAGGGGGGGGTTGTGACACCCCTCACCATCCCTCTCCAAAGGGGGAGTTTGGTAAAGAGAGATGAAAAAACCGATTTGTACCTTCCTTAAAAGTTGTCCTAGTTCGCTATTCTAATATCTATATACAATCTTCACACTGCCGTACTCTAACGGAACTATCAACTCTATGCTTTCATCTACTCCATCTATCGTATAAAAATTACCACTACAGTCTGTTATTTGAAATTAGCATCTTCAACTATGTAAATCGTTGACTTCACGTAGAAGTAATACTAAAAACATATAATCAAAGTAGAAAAGTATGTCAAGTGCTTGTTAAGATTGCAGGGGGTGAAGTCATATGGCAAAGTGTTAGAACCCTTTTATTAAGTATAAGAAAAGTACGTTACGTACGGGTGGATATTATATAAAAGCAATCTGTTGCATTTATGTAACATTTTAATGGCCTCTATGAATTGTTTCATTTAGACCGGAACAAATCACAAGTTTTTATTTTGTCACTCTATGCTCGCACGAATCGAAAGGGGGAGGGAATAAACACATATATATTTCAAGCGTTTACATTACTTCTTACTTCGCTTTAGTCTTATACTTCTACTATGTTGATTTTATTATGTGTAACACAAACTTCCAAAGGACGGTATCAAAATCCAACTAAGCTAAAAAGGAAACCCATATTTCTAAAAATATAGTTTTCGAACTACAAACCCGGTTAAACCTTCACGTATGGATTCAGCAAGGCCCAATCAATAAAATGCTAGCTTATTTTTCAAATATATGAACCGAAATGCAATTTGGCAGAACCTAAAAACTAATATATAATATAATACGTATGGATTCAGCAATTCTATAAAAATCCGCGACTATTTTTAAAGGAAGGAGCCGAAATTCAACTTGGCTGAACAGGAAACACAAATTTCTATGAAAATACGTACTTTTGAGAATTAAAACCTAGTTTTCTAAAAAAAATGCATTCTTCAAAAAATGAAATATCAAGTATGAATTCAGCAAGGTCCAGTCTATAAAATCTAAGCCCATTTTTCAAAGGATGGAGCCAAAATCCAGCTTGGTTGAACAGAAAACTCAAACTTCCATCAAAATACGTATTTTTGTGAATTTAAACTCATAAAATTAAAAAATTCAACCCTGACGTATGGATCCAGCAAGGTCCATTCTACAAAATCGAAGTCTATTTTTCAAATATCGGTGCCGAAATTCAACTACTTTTGGGAATTTAAACTTGGTTTTCTCAAAAATTGAGAAATTCTATCGTCACATTTGGATTCAGCAAGTTCTATTCCATAAAATACAAGCCTATTTTTCAAAGATTGGAGCTTAAATTCAGTTCAACAAAACATAAAAATCAATTTTCTATGAAAATACCTACTTTTGTGAATATTAACCAGGTTGGTCTTTCACGTACGGATTCAGCAAGTTCCGTTCTATAAAATCCAAGCACAAATTTCAACAATAGAACAGAAATCCAACCTGGCTTAAAAAAAATCTACCATCACATATGAACTCACACAGGACTATTCTATAAAATACAAGCGAGTTTTTCAAAGAACGGAGCCAAAATCCAACTGGCTGATCAAGAAACCCAAATTTATATAAAATAAGTATTTTTGTGAATATAAACCCACTTTTCTCAACAATTGTGCATGCTTAAAAAAATCTACCATGCCACGAACACACAAAGGTCCATACATTGAAATCTTAGCCTAATTTTCAAAGAATGTGATTCTCACAAGAACGAGGAAGGGATCTAGGGGAGCAGAATCTACGTTAAAAGTTAATAAAAATCACTTCAGGAAAGCTCAGACTAACATTAAATATAATTCAATCACTCAATAGAAAAGTTTGGACTCCCCAAGAAAGGTATTGAACCACTTCAGAAAAGGTTGGACGCCGTTTGGAAAATTTAAGCTAAAAAAGTGTCGGTTCACTTCGGAAAACTCTACACCAGAAAAAAATTGAGATTTGTTCCGGCCTTATTGAGCATTACACGATTTTAATATGATAGCGATAAATGATTACTTGTATTACTTGTACTACTCTGATACATATTTGAATGTACATGCATTGTAGTTATATAACTTTTTGTTTATGTATTTGAAGATGATGTATTTTGAATATACGTAATAATCCCGCACAACTGGAACCTGTAAGAGGTTAAATATCAACGTGTTGTTAATAATAGGCACTTATTCACCTTTATTTAAATCCGATCCGAATGATTCATTCCTGAGTGCTAGACAAACGTCAAAAAACTATATGGCAATCGCTGCATCACACACAAGTTCTAATTTCAACAAATTCAACATGCATTTTACCGAAAAGGTGCTGCGGATTTTTCATCGGCGTGACATAAATTTATTCGGTGGCGTGAAAGATTTTACTGCGGCGGCGCGCCGACCCAATTTCATCGGCGGCGGCGGCGTATGAAAATCGTCGGCGGCGGCGCGTGGCGCGGCGGCGCACAGGTCTAATTTAGACCAGCTTGCAAATGCTCATTACAGCTAAAATGCTATTTTTCGGATTTATGAAGCTATGAAATGTTTTAATGATAATTCTTATTTATAAGATGCAAGTAGAGCAGGTAAAGTGTGTGTATGACACATAAAACCTGTCAATTTAGCTTTCAGAGGGTCACAATAGCGATTAGCTGTAACGATGAGCAACGTGATGAGCGAGCAATCAGTGATCATACCATCGCTAGCTGTGATCTTCTGAAAGCAAAATTGACAAAAAATTTATGTCATACACAAACTTTGCCACTTATTCTTACTTCTTACAAATAAAAATTACCATTATAGTAACTCATAGTTTCATAATTACGAAAATAGCATTGCAAGCCTGCATTTAGAATAAATTCTATCAAATATTAGAATTTGTCACTGCGCAGAACTATGGCACTCTAGGTTGGCTAAGTTGTTGGAAACTATCTTACAAAATTTACCAATTCGCAGCATTATCCATCTGATTAGGAAGAACGTAACTCAAGTAGTTCTATTTCACCATTACTTACCATCGAATGGTCCACCACGAGGATGGCTCCAAGCAATACTGCCAGTATTAGTTTCATACTTCCAGTTAGCTTCTCACAAAACACAGCGCAATCGTTTCCGTTCGACAAGACACTTTAATGACTACATTCTACAACTCGACGACGCTTTTTTATACGAACGGTGGTGTAATGGGGTTGAAAAGCTGCCGATGAAAAGTTCGAAACTTTCAAACACGTGGATATCGGTTGGGTTGAGGGTGATGACATGCTATTTTCATTTCGCTTCACACATTGTACGGAAAAGTTTTCAATATTTAATGCATATTCATGATGCGTTATGCTAAGTTAGCTGCTAAGGTAATTACATGGTAATGCTGCTCTATGACGTAATCCAAATACTCCTGATAGCCTAGTTTTTTAGGAAAACTCTCGACTTCCCTGTGCCCAGAGTATCATTGTATTTGCAAACAATAAATACAGGTTTAGAAGGTTTTCAAGTGGAATGAAAGGACGTCACCTATTAGGCAGCGTAATTTGTGTGGGTGGAACGTTTAATTTGTGTGGGTCGAATTCGAGTCAGTGACCTTCTAAACGAGAGATTGTGTTGCTATGTTAATTTCTACGACAAGTCCGTTCCTCATACATAAAGGATTTTACTTGCAGTGAGTTCACACGTGTTTTCTACGATGTTTGTTTGCGACCCTCACCTCCTATGCCAAAAAGGCAACCGTCAATTCAGGAAAGTGAAACCCACATTTGTCATCATTTCAACAAATCATTGCGAAAATATACGATCCTTTTTTGCCTCTGGTTTCCAAAGATACTGTCAATTTCCTGTCTTCCCTCCCACTGGATTATGCTATGCTCAGCATGGGCCATGTTTAATTCAGTAGAATAACATCAGGGTGCTATGATAGTATAGAAAAACGAAAAGGCCTTCCGAAGAAACAAACGTAGGCATCATGGCTAGATAGTAGATAGCTCATTAAATGTTTCCCTTCTACAGTTATCCTTTATACTTTCTTGCCTACTAAAGCGAGCTCGTTGAGTTTCATCACTGAATCCAATTGCTCCATGAATTACTACGAGCCCTGAACAATTGTTCGGAGGATTAATGGGTCTATATAACTGCAAAGTTTAAAAATCTCATATGGATCAAGTTCATTTTTTTCTAAAATATTGTTTAAAACCAACTCTCATTCTTTTCAATTTTGTCTTATGACTCATTCAGCTAGATAGCATTTGTAAATTCTCAGTAAATTCTTGAACTTTGCAAACATTTTGAATAAATTAATTATACATTCAGCTTTAAAAAAATACTTGCTTCTGAAGATACTTTTCCCACAAATATCTTCCAGTTGGTAACGTTTTTAAAAAATGTGTTAAATTTAGTTTTTTGTTGAATATTAACAACCGGGACATTTTTAAGATTTGAACCGGAACAACCGGGAATTTCATCATGTTTGCATTTCATGTAGTTGGCTTTAGCTTGATGAAATGAATAAATAAATAACTGATATTTATTTCCAAATCCCGCATCCAAATATTTGTCTCAAATCTTTGTAGAATTTATTCTGAAATACTCATGAGTAGGATCGAATAGGATACTTACGGTTACCTCTTGAACCTACCATAATCGGCAATATTTTGGATTATAAAATTTCCAATAGTAAATCAAACTATTTGAATTTATACGAGAAAGGTAATTTTCACCGGTAGGTGGATTACTTAAAGTTTTTAAGTCAGCAGGACGTATTGTGCGAGGGCTTATACCAAGCTTGGAAGATGACCGGTAATGAAAGATTACTGCATTTTTTTTTCAAAATGATCATTAGATTTTGAATTACTGGGTAGTCAAAAAGTTATCAAGACTTGATGAAAGATCAGCAAACTTTCCAGCACAATAATGCTGTTGAATCTTCCAGCAATTCCTTCTGTCAGAATGATATCATTTTACTGAAAATCAGTAAAGATTTCAGATTTCATTTTTACTGATTTTTTCAGCAACCCCAAATTCTGTCAGCATTTTGCTAAATAGACTCAATCCTAACCCATCTCTTACCCAACTATCCAACTCCGTAGCATTTATGGGGGTGTCGGTGAGTCGTTGGCCTCCTGTTAAGTACATGTTACATCAACAATATCATTCCTTTCCCCGTAACGGAGAAGATGGGTGTGGCTGTCAATGGTAATCGTCATGCTTTTCCTGTTCTAAACTTTGACTGGAGAGCTATTCACTTCGAAATAGTTTTCCATAAGCAATCTTAATAAGAACGTTAAAGTAGATGCATGACAGTTGCCAGTATGCAATCTACGAATTACTCCGTTACAAACGCAACGCAACGCAACTATGAACATTCATCTTCTGAAAAAGATTGTTGATACAAATACACATGCCATATATATTTTATAAGTTGTAACCAGTGTATGGTTTTACTAACATAATTTTAATTATTTCCTCCTCCTCCTCCTCCTCCTCCTCCTCCTCCTCCTCCTCCTCCTCCTCCTCCTCCTCCTCCTCCTCCTCCTCCTCCTCCTCCTCCTCCTCCTCCTCCTCCTCCTCCTCCTCCTCCTCCTCCTCCTCCTCCTCCTCCTCCTCCTCCTCCTCCTCCTCCTCCTCCTCCTCCTCCTCCTCCTCCTCCTCCTCCTCCTCCTCCTCCTCCTCCTCCTCCTCCTCCTCCTCCTCCTCCTCCTCCTCCTCCTCCTCCTCCTCCTCCTCCTCCTCCTCCTCCTCCTCCTCCTCCTCCTCCTCCTCCTCCTCCTCCTCCTCCTCCTCCTCCTCCTCCTCCTCCTCCTCCTCCTCCTCCTCCTCCTCCTCCTCCTCCTCCTCCTCCTCCTCCTCCTCCTCCTCCTCCTCCTCCTCCTCCTCCTCCTCCTCCTCCTCCTCCTCATCGACCTCCTCCTCCTGCAAGTGTTCGACGCCGGACATAGAGGTAAATTAAACATTAATATCTGCATTTTGTGCTAACCACATACCAAGATTAGGACATCTTTGAATACCGAGGTTAGTCTGTAAAACATAGAGATCTGAATCCATACCTCTCACTCCCGGATAAAGCACGAATGATCCGAGAGTGTAAAAATTACTATAAATAAAAAATACTTTCCTTGAAATTTTGCTAAGCATTCTCAAATCATCCTCTTGGAATCCTGTAAAGATTCTTTTAAGATTATTGTGTGAGCTTACTACATTACATACTGTATTCTTTAGGGTCAAGCGAAATAATAATCTATGCTTCAAGTAAGGATTTGGGTTTTATCATGCGATAAAACGTGTGACGGTACTTGGGATATTTTACAATATTAAACTTTTTCAATTAAACTGGGAAAACTAGGTTGGACAACTTGAAAAAACCGAAAAAAAAACAATTTTTTTTAATGCCTGAATAGAATGGCCAGAGTGCATTTGTTTAAACAACGTCATCTTCAAGAAAAATTAGGATATACAATTTTTTCGATTGCCTATGATCTCGAGATATCACAAATTTTCTGAGGTTTTAAAAAAAAACTCTGGTTCCGATATCTTCGTCTTCTTGAAAGTTTTCCAAACCTTATATGTTGGAAAATGGTCTAGGAAACTTTCCAAGCGGTAGAGTTTTTTTTAAAGACCTGAATTTCGATAAATCTTTGAAGGCCTGAAGCTTTAGTATTGACAAACATTGAAAAATCATGTAGTAGAATCTTATTTTTTTTTCAGAAATTCTTTTCCAAGCTCACCAATTTGTATTTTATACAAATCCGGAATCAACAAATTTTCATGTTTAAAATCTTGAAATATTTAGAATCATTTTAGAATCATTAAATGTTTCTCGGACTGTAAACTTACATTCTAACACATCGTAAATTATTCTTAATTTGTTTGAATTAACGATAACGAATTACTAAGTACCAGAATTAAACAAAAAAAATGTCAGATATCTCTAAAATTTATACCAGAATCTTACAACTTTTCGAGAAGATCGAGATTTGTGAGACGGTGAAAACTTGTCACACCCTGCAATTACCATAGAGCTGATTGGGAGCAATATCGAACATTTATGAAATATAACGGGTGTTCAATAAAAAATGAGAATGATTTCAGTGCCGTCCAGCGCTCTTGTGATAGCATTGCGACTAAGTTGCGTCGTACGGCTGACCAGGGCCCCTTCTCCAATATTCATTGACGATTTTTGAAGAATAAACATTATGATTCAATTATAATAGACGACAATCTTCAGCTCTTGATCCGTCTTAAAAATGTCTGTTGGAGACAATATCAAAGAACACGCGATCCTGCCATGAAAGTTATCAGGCGGGATTTGCAAAAATAAATTAAAAAGCGATTCTCTGCCCTGAGGAACAATACTTTTGAAAATAATGTTTCTAAATTAGACCCAAGTTCCAAACCCATTTGGAAATTTAAATTTTTTTTGAAAAAAACTCAAAAGTCTATTCCAGCGCTTAAGAAGGTGGTAAAAATTTTATCAAAATTTGGAAAAAAAAGCTCAGAACTTGCTACTATTCAAGAGTTTCCATAATTTCAGTTTGGATCTTACTAGTCCTATTGAGAATCAGGTTGCTCGGGATTATCTGAATATTTTCTCTCGGGATTTTTTTTTTAGATGATTCCTGTTGGACTGATTTGGACGAAGTAAGGTATATAACTAAAAAGTTTCATAATATGAAAGCTCCAAGTGATGATGGAATTTTCTATATCTTCATCAAAAAACTCCTAGAGAGTACCTTGTCTTTCTTGGTAAAATTATTTAACAGATGTTTCCATTTGGCATACTTTCCTGATAAATGGAAAAAATTTAAAGTTGTTCCAAATTTGAAGCCGGATAAAAATCCAGCTGAAGCTTCTTGCTACCGTCCAATAAGTTTGCTTTCTTCAATAAGTAAACTTTTTGAAAATATAATTTAAAATAGAATGAATTTGCAGCAGGCTGCAGAAAAGTTTAAATATTTTCTCTTCTTATTTACAAAAATGGAAGATTTCTCCCAACGCTTCCAAAACTCAACTTATAATATTTCCACATAAGCCTAGAGCTTCCTTTTTGAAACCGAGTAGTAGTCACATAGTCTCTATGAACAGAGTTTCAATTTCCTGGTCAAACCAAGTGAAATATCTTG